TAAGATATTATTTAAGTGTATCAATAATTATCTAATTCAAATTCTTTTAAACATGAAAACATTTTTCAAAGAGTTTATTTGATGTGTTTCAAAAGGAGAAGTAGGAGAAAGACAAATGTGGGAGAGGGAGAAAAAAATGAAAAAGTTTGTAGGGAACTGAAATCTTAAACAACTGAAAATGCTATTAAGCTGGTCAACTTAAGTTTTCTGTATGGCACAGTTTGTTATTTTTCTTAATTTTTTGTACAAATGCATATAAAAATGAAATAAAAAGCCATCCTCCTAAAATCAATACCATCATTAGAATTATTATTGGCCAAAGTCCCAAAAGGGCCTATAGCAGAAAATGTTTTCTCAGTGGTAAACCTGAAATGTAGCTTTGAAGAACAGCTATGTTTTTGGAAATTGGTGCCTGTAAAGTAAACCCTTTTCAGTTTTGTCTTTGGGCACATTGCAGTTTAAATGTGACATTTCTATTTTTACAATCATTAGACAATAGGGGAAAAAACTCTGTAAAAATTTGCAGAAATATCTTTTTGTCTTTATTCTTTTCTGACTTTGTTGGTTACTGCTAGTTTCTTAGGAAGAATAAATAAATAAATATCTTTATACTCATTGTTGCACATGCTACCGTCCAACACAAATCATAGAACACCAACTAGCAAACATTTGTTTAATGACTTCTACACTGCAAGTACTGGGGTAGGCATTAATCCACCAATGAAATATACTAACATAATCAAATCAATGGTGAGTTGAACACAGTCTCTACCCAATAATCTTATTTCTAGTAAGGGGGAAAATGTAAGAAAAACTATTAAAACACAAATGAGAGGTGACCATAGGTGAGATCAGGAAAAGTTTCCCAGCACAGGGGTATAGGGTCTTAATGTCTCAGCAAGGGCCAAGAGATCCAAATGCTCTAGTTCCCATGGGAAAATATTCTTTACTAAAGCAGATACATCACACTGTCATTTTTTATGGAGAACATCGTGCTTAGTAAAGTAGAGAGCCAGCAAAAAGGAGGAATGTTCTCAATGAGATGGATTGACACAGTGGCTGCAACAATGGGCCCAAATGTAGCAACCATTGTGAGGATGGCATGGGCCCAGGCAATGTTCTGTTCTGTACAGAGGGGCACTATGTGTCAGAACCAGCCTGACAGCACTTAACAACACAATTATAATTCAGAGCTCTTACCTGACTTCCCTGCCTCTGATTTCATATTCTCACGCAACTTAGAGATTCATAATTTATATTTCCAAATACATTTTTCTTAATGGAGCAAAAACATTGACTGGCAGATTCAGGTATTTGTGTTCTCTTGACAGTCCTATTTCTCGTTGTAATAACTTGACATTTTGGGTTGGTATATTAGTCCCTTGTGATATCTATTTATTTGTTAGGTTAGTGAGGATCACACTCTGATCTGTATTAGTAGATTGAAAACATTAATTTTCTGAAGCTGAAAACCTGAGGACAAAAGTAATACGAGCCCTGCTTGAAAAATAAAATCACTACACTCACTTTTTGCAAAATTATTTCATATCATCTCTCTCTATGTGCAGTGTGACTCATTAGAAAGAGTTGTGACCCTCAAGACAAAACCTGGGTTCTAATACTACTCCATCAATTACTATCTATATGATCTCGAGATGACGAACCTGAATACCCTTACCTGAAAAATAGTGATTCAAGTACCCACCCAACTCACAAGTCAATGTTAAACATAAAACACTGAATATGAAAGGGCTTTGAAAATTAGAATGTATTAAGATATTATTATTTCCTTACTGTCTTGCAAACAGCCCATGCCAAATAGTCCATTAGTGAAAAGATCATAATAATTTCCAGACGTGACAAAAAGTCAATGTTAACATAAAGAAATACTAAATTGTATCCTCTATTATGCTGCCCATACTGAAAATTTCTTCCTACAGAACAGGAGAAATAAAATTTGAGTTTCTTTACCACTAGAAGAACTCTCTTTGTTTTCAAAAGCTTCCAGAATAAATCTAATTCAAAATGTAGTTGTGTGTGACATATAGTTATATAAATGTGAAAATGAGGTTAGAAAAGAGTGTCTGATTAAACATAAATACAATTAAAAAAAAAATATATATATATATAATCAGAATAATTTCAAAATAAGTAGCAGCATTGGTAAATCACACCCCCTCCCCAAAAAATGTTTATCTTTAATAGTTCCATTACTCAAGTTAACTAAAGAAGCTCTGGTGGTGTAACATTTAAGCACTTGGCTACTAACCAAAAAGGTTGGTGGTTCAAACCCAATCAGTAACTCCACAGGGAAAGACCTGGCTATCTACTCCTGGGAGGATTATAGCATAGAAATACCATGGGGCAGTTCTGCCCCATCACATGGGGTCACTATGTGTCAAAATCTATGGCACCAAACAATAACTGAAAGAGGATATAGGGGTCTCTCTGCTCTGGGAAAAGTAGACATACTAGTTGACAGAAGCTGATTTCTCAGTTCTCAACTAATTTATAATAATATTGCAGAGATGTACTTTTCTTTTTTCATTCATTTTAGAAATAAAGATGAAATGCATTTCCATTTCAGTTTTATTCAGGTGTTCCTTCTAGATGCCCCTATATCAGATCACATACTGAATTATAACTGTTGTTTACTTGCATTTCCACCTACAACCTGAAAGATTACTAAGGGAAGAGACCACATCTAAGTCTTTCCCCTCACCTCCAGCCATTAGCCCATTAACTGACACATAGCAGGTACTCAAAAAATGTGGACTGAATAAATTAAGGGAAAAAAAAAGGTATAGTAGTAGACTGTTTTTTCTCTTAAACCATAACATCCTTTTATATTATCCTTAAATTTAATCATTGGGTTTCAGTCATGGATGTAAGATAATTCAGTATAAGTAAAAGATTTATGCAAGTTAAAGCAGCCAAAGTTACTGAAATTACAAAATTAGGCAGACTGAATTGTTTAAATTCTATGTAAAATGATGCATAGATATATTTATTAATTTATAAAGTTTATTTATCATTTAATTCAAAATCTGTACTGAGCTCGTACTACATTTCAATTACCATGCCTGGGAGTTGGGGTACACATCCAGGAAAGCCCCATACTCTCCAGGGGATTACTGTTTGGTGAGGTAGAAAATATAGTAAGGGTAAGAAGCAAATGAGATGTAACTTTGAACTGTAAATGTTTTACAACTTTGAAAAACAAGAACTTTTCCTTTTTACTTAAAAGGGAACTGGTCTGTGTCTCAGTGAGGACCATATCACCAAATATATTTATCTGTCAGTGAAGCACCCCCTTTATCTTAGAATCAGTCAACAATGCCAGCATGAATGTCAATATTGAACGGAGACGAAAGAAGAAAGAATGTTCACAGACTGATTACTCCATAGACCGTTATTGTGGGTAGGCAAGAAGCCTGGGCTGAACAGTCCAACTGAGATCCAGCTAAGCTGAACACTTGAAGGGAGAACTCACCAGCAGTCTAACTTAATGGAGTGTAGACCTAACAGTAGTGTGGCCTTTGAAAACAGCACAGATCAGAACTGCAACTTGGTTTTGGAATTGCTTATTTTTCTGTGATATAAACCTCAGCATCCATTTAAAAGAGAGGATATCTAAATGTCTGTTTTATTGGTGTAGTCAAGTTTCCTTTTCCTTGTTAGTGACTAATGGAATGTAAGTTTATTTTCCAGTAAAAATAAAAGGGTCAAATGTTAATGTGACTTTCTGTTCAGAATGACAATATACAGGTACGTCCACAGTAAGTTAGACTTAAATTCCTCCAAATACTTCAAAACTGAAGTCACCATGTACAAAGGAAACCATACAGAGATGTACAGAAGAAAAGTGGAAATCCAACTAAGCATCACTAATTGTACTTTACTCAGAAAGCATTGTCTCTATGGTGTCTCCAAAGGCTGTCTCCTAGAGGCCTGAGGAAGGCTAAAGCACTTGGATGCCAAACAATAAATCAATCAGCGACTGAACCCACTAGCTGCTCCGAGGAAGAAAGATGTGGCAGTCTGCTTCCACAAAGATTTGCTGTCGTTAGGTGCTGCTGAGCCACCTCCAACTCAGCGGCCCACATACAACAGAACGAAACACTGCCCAGCCTTGTCATCCTCACAGTCCTTGCTATGCTTGAGCCCATCATTACAGCTAACGTGTCAGTCCATCTCATTGAGGGTCTTCCCCTTTTTTGCTGACCCTCTACCTCACCAAGCATGGTATCTTTCTCTAGGGAATGGTCCCTCTGACAACATGACTAAAGTAAGTGAGACAAAGGCTGGCCATTCTTGCTTCCAAGCGTCATTCTGGCTGCACTTCTTCCAGGACAGATTTGTTTGTTCTTCTGGTTGTCCATGGTATTTTCAGTATTCTTTGCCAATATCACAATTCAAAGGCCAAATTTATGAGACAGTTCTACTCTGTCCTGTAGAGTTGCTATGTGTTGGAATCAACTCAGTGGTAATGGGTTTAGGGGCCTGAGGAATCACAGTCTAACTCATTTGATTGGTACTGAAGAATATTATTTATTTATAGCCCTTTTGTTTTGTTTTGCTCTAACTGGGGGAAAAAAAACATCATCATTAAAAGGTTAGTTTCTTTTTCCCCCCATAAAACTAATTAACTAAAAGAAGGAAAAATGTAACACCCCAAATCACAATATATAAACAAATAAAATTTGAAGTGAAAGAAAAATTCTGAAATTATACTCATTATGTTAAAAAAAAACCAACATAGCCTTCTAAATATTAAATTTCTAAGCCTATTATTTGGGCCAGCTGATTATCAAGGACAGTCATAACAATGATAAAGTCATCAAAACATGTTAAAATAACTGTAAACTCTAGAATAGTATTTATACATGAAATAATTATAATTAGTCAATAGACATTAATTTCAGTATTTTCTTTCCTTTGTGCTAATTCTTTTTTTCTCTTTTGCCTTTTATATTTTATTTTATGACATTTAGCATCATGCTGCCATTCCAGCAAGTAGCGGACAAGCATGGGATTTGAATATTATCTGCCTAAATAAATGAATTACTCAACCTTCTGTGACCATCTATACATACTTCATCTTCAAAAAGTGTATCAGTATTATATCATCAAGGAGACAGTGACCTTCTTTTCTCCAATATGCGTGGAATTCTTGGACACTGCAATCGTGGCACTGACACTGATTTCCATAAAGAAAAACTTTATGGTTCTATGGCATTCATCATTTGACAAACACAAGTATTTTCCTAATCAATCAGCTCTTTCTGAACTTACTAGCAGTGACTGTGGAATCCTTAAGGGCCCATTAAATTTTTGAAGAAGAAAGCTAAGATGAAGGACATGCCACTACAAATTCATGTGCTACTTGGCCTAGCTATCACTACATTAGTACAAGCTGTAGATAAAAAAGTGGATTGTCCACAATTATGTACATGTGAAATCAGACCCTGGTTTACACCCAGATCCATGTATATGGAGGCATCTACAGTGGATTGTAATGACTTAGGTTTTTTAAATTTCCCAGCCAGGTTGCCTGCTGACACACAGATACTGCTCCTACAGACTAACAACATTGCAAAAATTGAATATTCCATAGACTTTCCAGTAAACCTTACTGGTCTGGATTTATCTCAAAACAACTTTTCCTCAGTCACCCACATTAATGTAAAAAAGATGCCTCAGCTCCTTTCTGTGTACCTAGAGGAAAACAAACTTACTGAGCTCCCTGAAAAATGTCTATCAGGACTGAGCAATTTACAAGAACTCTATATTAATCACAACTTCCTTTCTACAATTTCACCCGGAGCCTTTATTGGCCTACATAATCTCCTTCGACTTCATCTCAATTCAAATAGATTGCAGATGATCAACAGTAAGTGGTTTGACGCACTTCCAAATCTAGAGATTCTGATGATTGGGGAAAATCCAATCATCAGAATCAAAGATATGAACTTTAAGCCACTTATCAATCTCCGCAGCCTGGTTATAGCTGGCATAAACCTCACGGAAATACCAGATAATGCCTTGGTTGGGCTTGAAAACTTAGAGAGCATCTCTTTTTATGACAACAGGCTTATTAAAGTGCCCCATGTTGCTCTTCAAAAAGTTATAAACCTCAAATTTCTGGACCTAAATAAAAATCCTATTAATAGAATACGAAGGGGTGATTTTAGCAACATGCTACATTTAAAAGAATTGGGGATAAATAATATGCCTGACCTGATTTCTATTGACAGTCTTGCTGTGGATAACTTGCCGGATTTAAGAAAAATAGAAGCTACCAACAACCCCAGATTGTCTTACATTCACCCAAATGCATTTTTCAGACTACCCAAGCTGGAGTCACTCATGCTCAACAGCAATGCCCTCAGTGCCCTCTACCATGGTACAATTGAATCTCTGCCAAACCTCAAGGAAATCAGCATACACAGCAACCCCATCAGGTGTGACTGCGTCATACGCTGGATTAACATGAACAAAACCAACATTCGATTTATGGAGCCAGATTCACTGTTTTGTGTGGACCCACCTGAATTCCAAGGTCAGAATGTTCGGCAAGTACATTTCCGGGAAATGATGGAAATCTGCCTCCCTCTCATAGCTCCTGAGAGCTTTCCATCCAATATGGATTTAGAAGCTGGGAGCTATGTTTCCTTGCACTGTAGAGCCACTGCAGAGCCACAGCCTGAGATCTACTGGATAACACCTTCTGGCCAGAAACTCTTGCCTAATACTCTGACAGAGAAATTTTATGTCCATTCTGAAGGCACACTAGATATAAGTGGGATAACCTCCAGTGAAGGGGGTCTATATACCTGTATAGCAGCGAACCTAGTTGGTGCTGACTTGAAGTCTATTATGATCAAAGTGGATGGTTCTTTTCCCCAGGATAAAAATGGATCTTTGAATATTAAAATAAAAGATGTTCAGGCCAATTCTGTTCTGGTGTCTTGGAAAGCAAGTTCTAAAATTCTCAAATCCAGTGTTAAGTGGACAGCCTTTATCAATGCTGAAAATTCCTATGCTGCCCAAAGTGCTCGAATACCATCTGATGTCAAGGTATACAATCTTACTCATCTGAACCCATCAACTGAGTATAAAATTTGTGTTGATATTCCTACCATTTACCAGACAAACAGAAAGCAGTGTGTGAATGTCACCACAAAAGGTTTGGAACCTGAACAGAAGGAATATGAAAAGAGTACCACCACGTTTATTGCCTGCCTTGGTGGCCTTCTGGGGATTATTGGTGTGCTGTGTCTTCTCAGCTGTGTCTCTCAAGAAATAAATAGTGATGGTGGACAGAGCTATGTGAGGAATTACTTACAGAAACCACCATTTGCATTCAGTGAGCTTTACCCTCCTCTTATCAACCTCTGGGAACCAGGCAAAGAAAAAAGTACAACATTGGAAGTAAAAGCAACTGTTATAGGTGTGCCAACAAATATGTCCTAAAAACACCCAACTCAATCTACTTCAAAGGAAAGCTCAAGACTACAGTTGTTGTAAGTCAAAGGCAGAGAAAAGTTACTTTCTAGACATAAGTTTGTGCTTCATCAGTGCTGCTCCAGATCAGTGGAAATATGTACAACTTCAGCATTTTAATTAACTGACTTCAAAGGATACTGTGGCAACCAAATAAAATAAGTCCATTTTCTAGAACTTTCATGTAACTTTTATGTCTGGAATACAGTTAAAGTGGACAAAAAACATTTCTGTATTTTTTTTAAGTATGTAAGAGTAGTTGAACTGAGCAATACCTCCTCCTGTGTTGTATTACACATATTAGCCACGAGTTTTTGCAGTGACCAGATAAACTTGAATTGACACGTGGTGTAATAAAATGGACAAATTCTGTAGAGTAGACACAGTGAGTATGTGGACCTCTTTTATAAAGAAAAATACATTTTGGATTAAAATCAGTTGCTTTTGTCTTGTTTTGGTTTCTAAATAAAGAACAATTTCTGGGAAACATCATCTGATCATATATCATTTAAATGTCAAAGTTTTTTCTACAACAAACTTGTGGTGCTAAGAGTGAAGCCTTTTTATTGGGTTATGCAACTACATTTCTGTGATGCATAAAAAATGGGTTTGACAAAGCATCTTAGTGATATTAAATGTGAATAACAACATTGTACTTAACCCTTTAACTACTGACAGAAACAAACCAGTTAATAGTCCCTTAAAGATTTTCTTTTCTTAACAAGCAGCTTTTGGAATGGATTTAATTATGTTCAGATAATGAAAATCTAGTACCTGAGCAACTGAAAGTCTTATTTGAATAATTAGTACCACTCAGCTTCAGGGTTGGTTGACTGTCAGAAAATATTGTCAAATATCTGTAGAAACTTCAATCTAGGTTTAATTTTCAAATCTCTCTGTGACTGTAAGCATTTAATGAGAGTCAATATAATAATAAAGAAGTAATTTAATACTTTGCTCTGTTATAAATGTAGCAAAGAAACATACTCTATGCCAAGATTCTGATTTAAGATTTCATTTTTAAATATATTAGGTTATTAGTAGAATAAAGTCTAACAGTTCAATTTCAGAAAGCTACCTTTTTATTCAGGCCACTCCAATATAAAAATAATGTAAATCAGATACTTCCAGAGCTCAATAGAAATTAAGAGGACAGTTTTGCAAACTAAAGGAAGAATGTTCTGAGACGCTTCTATGAATGTTTCTATGACTAATTTAGCATAAATTAAAAAAAATTACATGCTGGCCCTTATAACTATATCAAGGCATCTAAAAGCAACAGCTTAACACAACTGGGAATAATTGAATTGAACTGCCAAGAATATTAATTATTTAAAAATCTTATGTAAGAAACATAAGGAATTTCACTTGGGAAAAAAGACCAAGATCTTTTAGGGTTTTCCCTGTATTTACAAACAAACAAACAAAAAACCCTATAGTTTTGCAAAATAAATGTATATTATTAGACAAGAAATATCCTAGAATAATTTAAAATTCTAAGATAATAAGCCATAATTTTTAAAGACAAATTGCTTTGTTCTACAAAGCTACAAAGTTTCCATGTTAATTGTTTCTGTGCCTGTTTATCATCCAGTATTTAACTTTTGTACAGTAGCTGTAAATATGTATAGCACTTCATCATATCAATTTATTTTTTAATATTGGATATGTGCTTTTTGATGTCAATGACAGTTTCTAATTAAACTCTAGCTGTTTTTGACAATGTGGAATGTAATTGTTATACACTCTTTAAAACTAAAGGACAAAATACATTAATTTTAATATTCCTAAAATATGGAACATGCTAATTCATTGTGTTCCCTGAACACAAATTTTACAACCTGATGAATCACTTTCACACAGAGGCTGACATTAGAATTTATCAGCAAGACATGCTCATACTTCTTGAGATGTTTCAGTACCACGGACAGAGCTTTTTAGAGCGAGGCTATTTGTCAAAAATATAGGAGATGAAATAGGACTTATTAGGATGCAGGTATTATATAGGTCAGTAAGAACTTGCTCAGGTATCTTGTATGTTTCTCTTTTAAGCCCATCTTCATGAAAAAGTATTACAAATATATCTTAAATCTGAGACTCCCATTTCAAGAGATACATGCCTAGAAAAATGGTATGACAGAAACACTTTGAATAGACATTAAATAGTGAGCACTGAATAAAGTATTTGGTTACAGTTGAACAAATAAGATGTTTGAAGCAAATAATCTTGTTTATTTTTAGTATCTAATCTAAACAGCCACTGAGAGAGAAAACACATCTGCTTCAATAACAGAAGAGCCTTTCATACTCCCTGCTACCTCTTAAACCTACATAAAATTAACTAAGCACTGGTCAAAGTACTCCAAGCATGTAAGTTATAATTTGGTGATACTGTATAGATGCACCTGTTATAATAGAAAACTTTACCTACAACAAATAAAACTCTAAAATTTATATCTCTAGGAATGCTACTAAGCCACTAACCACATGGAAAAAACTCAAAAATGACTTGAAAAGATTTTTTTCCCAATTTACACTAAAAAATAAAATTAAAATTTTCTGAAAATTCCTTCTCAATTGAGTAAAAAAAAGTGTATATTCGTGGAGCAAAATGTCAAGCCAAGCATCAATAGCCTGTTAGTCACAGCATAGTGACCATTTTACCTACAAAGAAATGAATCAATTTGTGCCTTATATATCAGACTTTTGATATTAGTTTAGTGGTAATATTTTTACTCCAATTAGACAAAAAGAAACTTACAATAAAATGTCCTCATAGCTATCATAAGTATCAGGTGAAAAAAAATCAAATTGTATAAATAACTATTAGGAGATATTCTGGGTTTCACACCAATGCTGTTTTTCTAGCTGATAGGGAACAACGAATAGTGGTTTAAATGGAGCTACACGTCCTTTGATCCAATATCATTTTCTTTTCTGAAGACAAAGACAAATAAGTAAAATTGTTTGCAAAGGATATGATTGCCAAGAATATGCTTGCCATATCAAAGATGCTAAAGGGCATTTGGGGACAGGAAATGAACAGAAAAGACTACAAGGATCTTCTCTTTAAGACAGTAATATTTTTACCATTGGTTCTACAACCCCTATTTGTAGCATAGTGCTGAAGCTATTTGACTGCCAGCCACAAGGCTGGTGGTTCAAACCCACCAGCTCCTCAGAAGGAAGGTTTGGCAATCTACTTCCATAGAGATACCTCCTCAAAACCAAAGGAGGAGTTGCTATGAGTCAAAATTGGATGGCAGTGAGAATGCATCGCTAACTAAGCTCCTGAGTGCACTGCAGCATTGTACTGGAATGAAGCTGTCATGCCTAGAATCAAAATGTTACAATCACTGTCACAGAGTTGTAGAAAGAGAAAGAAATTGACTCCACTTTTGGTACAAGAGTGGCTGCTTTAAAACATTCATTAGGAAAGTTAAGGCTTTATTTATTATTAAGGGTAACTACCACCTAGTTTTACCTTATTCCTCTTAAGTAAGAGAAAATTAAAACACTAGTTGTACAGAGGAATAAAATGACAAAGTCAGAGCAAATACTAGTTATCATAGTCCCAATGTCCAATCCTAAGAGAAATTATTAAAAATTTTTAAGATTATTCCATTAACATATAGAATATTTTCCAAACCTAGTCTAAGCATTTCATTAATGATATAGTCAGAAGTGCTCATGATTTGACTAGTAAGCATCCAATATTCTTGGGTGATAAGATATTATATGAAGTAGGAGACAATTCCTTTTTATTTCTGCTGAAAACTGAGAAGCCCACAAAGATTTTAATTTATTTTACATACACCTCAGAGAGTTCTTAGTTCATCTTCAAATAAGCCAGACAGTCTATTCCAACTAAGAGATTAAATACCTTGCAGATATATTAATAAGATTTTCTATTAAAAGTAAACTTAATCTTCAAAATAAGTAAGGCATTCACAGTATATACCATATGTGTTTTCAAATGTATTGTACTGTGGCCAAGAGTAAGAAAGTATAGCAAAAAGAATTGTGGCTGATCCTAGCAAGCCTTCCAGAAGAATGAACTATAATAGCATTTGAAAACCTCACAGTACTTTGTGTGTTTATATTTATCTATCCTAACTCTAATATATCTTCAAGAAAGTAATAGTATTATGTGACCATTGTAAGGAAAATCCAGCTTCTCATTAAAACATATAGTTCAGTGTCTAAAGTTATTGATTCAAAATCCAATTGTGATATCCATTTGGAATGTTTACCAGCCTCTGGAACAAATAATGGAGTAAGCCTGGAACATAAATTGACCCTCCTAATCCTTGCATTGAGAGAATCTGAGTGTAATAAAAAAAAAAAAAAAACTCACTGTTATTTGTGGTACCAGATTCAAGGCTGGTAAAGACAGAAATACTTCTTGAACCGTCAAAGGTATCATTATTAAAACAATACGGCTAAACATACTGAAAGAGTTCTTCAAAAGAGTAGTATATAAAATTGAAATTCATCATCAGAAAAGGGACTGAAGTCAAATACCGCTGGTAAACATCCCTTTAGAATGGAATCATCTATTCAATAAAAAAACAACAAGGAATCAGGTCTCCAAAATATCATAATGGGAAGTTAGGGTCACAATTTTTAAAGCTTCTGAGCTTTCCATTCTTATTGCCTAGTCAGTCAACCAACAAATATTTCAATATATAATTTTAATATTATTGCTTACTCCATCAGGATTTAAAAATACATTTACATATAAAATGCATGAATTTATGTGATATTAACAACCCTATTCTAACTCTTAAGTATGGAAACAGAATCTTTTCCCGGATATGATAAAGGGTGTAAACACAGAACAAAATAAAGCATTCATTTCTTTCTAATAACAAAAAACTTTCTCCATATAAATAAATTAGAATTAATTGATCACAGTATGAAAACAAACTACATAAAAAAATAACCAGTTGAGGCTAAGGGGAGTTAGGATTCATTTCCAATGAATTGCATGTGTCACAGTCCAGGCTCAGTCCTGAAGTGACAATGTGATGCTTGAAATACTTTCCTAACACATAAAATGCATAGCAATTAATAACTTTATTACTATTAATTTTAATAAATTTATATTCATATTTACTTGAGAAGCAAAGTAAAAACTAGAATGGGAGGGAAGCAGGCAAGCAACACTTACTAAATGCTACATACAAACCAGACTAACAATTTGCTATGGTCTTAGGGAATATATTCCAAATCAAAAGAAGGGAAATGGGGGAAAAAATAAGCATATACAAGCATATACAATCTTAGTATGTGCCAGGAATAAGATTAGATGCTTTCTTGTTAGTCTGCAGTTGCAAACATTCACTCTCTCTCTCTCTCTCTCTCTGGCTTTGTGTGAGTGTGTATATATACATATATATACACACTCATATACACAGATGTATATACAATTATAATTCAATCTTCATGAAATCTCTGTGATTTGTGTTAAGATTCCCATTAAAC